AAAGTTGAAGATAATGTAAGAAACCTCTGGGACAACTTCAAGCGAACCAACATCAGAATTATGGGGGTCCCAGAAGATGAGAGAGAGCAAGATATCGAAAACATACTGAAAGAAATAGTGACAGAAAACTTTCCCCACCTGGTGAAAGAATTAGACTTACAAGTCCAGGAAGTGCACAGAACTCCAAACAAAAGGAATCCAAAGAGGACCACACCAAGACAAATCATAATTAAGATTCCAAGAGCAAAAGACAAAGAGAGAATATTAAAAGAAGCAAGAGCAAAGAAGGTAGTTACCTATAAAGGAGCACCTATACGATTGTCAGCTGATTTCTCAACAGAAACCATGCAGGCCAGACGGGAATGGCAAGAAATATTCAAGGTGATGAATAGCAACAACCTACAGCCAAAGATAATCTATCCAGCAAAGCTATCACTCAGATTCAAAGGTCAGATAAAGAGCTTCACTAATAAAAAAAGGTTAAAGGAGTTCATCACCACCAAACCAGAATTATATGAATTGCTGAAGGGGGTTCTTTCAGAAGAGAAAGTAAATAAAGATAAAAATTATGAACAACAAATACGTAACTATCAACAAGTGAATCTAAAAACCAAGGAAACTAAAAAAAAAAAAAAATCTGAGGAACAATATTAACTGTTGAATATAATAGAATCAGAGGTATGGAAGGGGAGTGAACTGTTTATTCTTGGGGAAAAGGGGAGAGGGGGATGTGGGAAGAGACTGAACATAAATTGTGCACCTATGGATGAGGACAATGGGGGGTGGGGAAAGGGCACAGGGTGGGGTGAGAAGGGGGGGAAAGGAACATTTGTAATAGTATGAACAATAAAAATTTATTTAAAAAAAAAATAAAAAATAAAAAAAAATGGGCAACATCAGAGCATCCAGGCCAGGAGCGGCCAGGCTCGGAGCGGCCGGGCCCGGGGCAGCCAGGCCCAGAGCAGCCGGGTCGGGTGCAGCCAGGCCCGGAGCAGCAGCTGCCAGGCTGGGAGCGGCCAGGACCGGAGCAGCTGGGTCGGGTGCAGCCAGGCCCGGAGCAGCAGCTGCCAGACTGGGAGCGGCCAGGCCCGGAGCAGCTGGGTCTTGTGCAGCCAGGCCCGGAGCAGCAGCTGCCAGGCTGGAAGCGGCTAGGCCCGGAGCAGCGGCTGCCGGGCTGGGAGCGGCCAGGCCCGGAGCAGCAGTTGCCAGGCTGGGAGCGGCCAGGCCCAGAGCAGCCGGGTCGGGTGCGGCCAGGCCCGGAGCAGCAGCTGCCAGGCTGGGAGCAGCCAGGCCCGGAGCAGCAGTTGCCAGGCTGGGAGCGGCCAGGCCCAGAGCAGCCGGGTCGGGTGCGGCCAGGCCCGGAGCAGCAGTTGCCAGGCTGGGAGCGGCCAGGCCCAGAGCAGCCGGGTCGGGTGCGGCCAGGCCCGGAGCAGCAGCAGCCAAGTCCAGAGCAACTAGGTCGGGAGCGGCAGTGACCAGACCCGGAGCAGCTGGTTGTGGAACGAACCAGAGCAACAGAGGCCAGACCCGGAGCAGCCAGGCCCGGAACAGCTCGCTCTTCGCCTGCCCCTGCCCCACAGCTGCCTCTCAGACATGGCTGGAAACTTTTGTGGGAACTTGAGGGTCTGCTGAATCAAGTGATAAAGGCTTAGATTTGGATGTGTTGAGTTAGTATAGCGCTGGGGTGTTGATCTGTGAGTGCCTTGGGTGGGGCCTGGATGAGGCTGGTTGACCTATTTGGAAATGTCTTTTGTGTGAAGTGTATCATTGGGCATGTGGAGGTATTATTGATATGAGAAAATGCTAAGTAACTGATTTACTATCTGAAAAAAGATTTACTATCAGGGAAAGGGAGGGAGGAAGAGACTGAACATAAACTGTGCACCTATGGATGAGGACAATGGGGGATGGGGAGGGGGTGGGGGGTGGGGTGGGAACCTGGTGGAGGGGGGAAGAAATGAGGAACCTTTGTAATAATATGAACAATAAAGATTGATTTAAAAAAAAAAATGGGCAACAGACCTAAATAGATATTTTTTGAAAGAAGACAGAAGGAAGGCCAAGAGACCTATGAAAACATGCTCAAAGTCACTAATTATTCGAGAGATACAAATCAAAACAATGAGGTATCATCTCACATCTGTCAGAATGGCTATCATCAACAAATCAACAAACAACAAGTGCTGGTGAGGATGCAGAGAAAAATGAACCCTCGTGCACTGCTGGTGGGAATGCAGACTGGTGCAGCCACTGTGGAAAATAGCATGGAGTTTCCTCAGAAAACTAAAAATGGAATTCCGATTTGATCTAGTAATCCCACTTCCAGGAATCACTAGAAACACCAATTAGAAAGGACATATGCACCCCTATGTTCATAGCGGCACAATTTACAATAGCTAAGATTTGGAAACAGCCTAAGTGCCCATCAGCAGATGAGCAGATTAAAAAAGTGTGGTACATCTACACAATGGAATACTACGTTGTGGTGAAAAAAGGAAGGAACTCTTACCATTGGCAACAGCATGGAACTAGAGAGCATTATGCTAAATGAAATAAGCCAGGCAGATAAAGATAAATATTATATAATCTCACTCATTTATGAAATATAATGAACAGCATAAACTGGTGAACAAAAATAGATCCACAGACAGAGAAACATCTATCAGACCATTAAACCTCAGAAGAAAGGTAGGAGAGGGTGGGAATAAGGAGGAGAGATCAACCAAAGGACTTGTATGCATGCATATAAGCCTAACCAATGGACAGAGACAACAGGGGCGTGAGGGCATGAGGGGGAGATGGGGAAGTAATGGGGAAATAAGGACATATATGTAACACCATAATCAATAAAGAAATAAAAAATATATGTAATAAAATAAAATTTAAGAAGTTCTGGAACTAGATAGTGATGATGGATGAACAATATTGTGAATTTACTTAATGCCTCTGAATTTTACACTTTAAAATGGTTAAAATGGGCCCTGGCAGGGTAGTTCAGTTGGTTAGAGCCGTGGTAGGCAAACTGCGGCTTGCGAGCCACATGCGGCTCTTTTGCCCCTTGAGTGTGGCTCTTCTACAAAATACCACAGCCTGGGGGAGTCTATTTTGAAGTGGTGCTAGAAGAAGTTTAAGTTTAAAAATTTTGGCTCTCAAAAGAAATTTCAATCGTTGTGCTATTGATATTTGGATCTGTTGACTAATGAGTTTGCCAACCACTGGCTTAGAGCATTGTCCCTATATGGCAAAATAGTGGGTTTGATCTCCATGAGGGCACATACAGGAATCAACCAATGAATGCATAAGTGAGTGGAACAACAAATCAATCTCTCTGTCTCTCTCAAATCAACAACAACAAAAATTAAGAAACTATTAAAACAAAATGGTTTAAATAATGTTTTATGTTGTGTGTATTTTACCACCAAAAAACAATGAGGTTGTGTGTCTCAAGTCATGCCAGAGATTAAACCTACTACTATTATAACTACTGTAACTACTATTGTGACCTTCCATTAAGTTTGACCAATGCAGAGTTGGCATTAGAAGTCTGGCAATAAAGATATTAAAATTCTGGAATATACATTTTCTCTTTAAGAAAACACACAGCACAAAGCAGGAATTCAATCACAATGCAAGAGGCATATTGCTTTTCACCTATAGCACATTTCTTTTCTGGAAAGTCTAAAGTTACCTAAAACACTGGGGTTGCCAGGTGTGACTGACAGGCCAGTATCTTCCCTGTGTGATTCCCTCCCCCAGTGTTTTACAGGGAACATGTCCACAATGCCTGGCCTTCCCTTTACTCCTTTCCTGTTATTAATAATTAGCTAATTACAATAGAATAATATTAGTTCTGTGCCTTAGCACTTGTCTCTTTGAATAAAAGGACTATGGTATGCCTTAGATGGGTGGTGAGGACTGATGACTTGCCTCTAATAAATGCTTTCAAAGCCCTTAATGAAAATATATTGAGATAGTCATCTTACTCATCCATCCCCTTTATGAGCAAATCAGAATAAACTATTTTATTATCAATCCTCATATCTGCTGATCCCAATTAATGAAATACCCAAGGGCAAAATCCAAACTATATCTAACCTATACAGGCACCTCTTTTGCTTCATAGTTCAATCAAAGCACTACCATAAGAGCAATGCTAAACAGCCTGGTTTGCTGGGACACAATTAGGTTATACATTTCTGTGTTCACAAAATGTATTTCTCAGCTCCACTAGCGTAGCAGTTGGGCACAACAATATTTAACAGCAAGTAAACTATTGTGGAGTGACTCAGATCAATAGATTGAGCATCAGTAAAAAATATCAAATGATAGCAGATGATAGAGACAAAGAGGAATTCTAGGGAGGGGAGAGTCTGGACAGTAAAATGAATTGCCCCAAATGAAAATCACTGTGTGCATGGAGCAGGCTAACACTAAACAGACACCCAGCCTGGGGGCAAAAGCCACTGTCCTATTCTGTGAAACCAGCATGTTGTTCTGCCTTCTCAATTAACTTGTTTACCAGCTTTCCTTAATAGGTTGTCTGTTTCTTTTCTTTTTTGTAATCCTGAAAGCCATTTTCTTAAATTATGTACCTTGGTGAACACTGGAATATAAATGCATTGTGTCTATATGCTAGTAAACTTTGAGAGGATTAGAAAAAAAAAATCAATGGACTCAGATGAGCCATGGTTCAGCTAAGTAACTATTCAAAATTGATGGGTTATTTTTATCCTGGCTCTCCGTGAGTACATATTTTTTTTTTTTACTTGCCTGGCTGACCTCTGACAGTTTCTGGATAACATCCAATTAGGACAAACTGTCTTTGAACAAGCCCAAAAGACCTTGAACTGCACCTGTTTCCCATCTGGCTAGACACATGATTGGCAAACTGTGGCTCACAAGCGACAGGCAGCTCTTTGGCCCCTGAGTGTGGCTCTTCCACAAAATACCACGGCCTGGGTGAGTCTATTTTGAAGAAGTGGCATTAGAAGAAGTTTAAGTTTAAAAATTTTGGCTCTCAAAAGAAATTTCAATTGTTATACTGTTGATATTTTGGCTCTGCTGACTAATGAGTTTGCCGACCAAGGGGTTAGGAAAACTGTGGCTAGAGAGGCAAAATAGGAAGCTTCCCTGGTAGTCGGTAGCCAACTGGACTCATCCCAAAGATACCATTGGTGAACACTGGAATATAAACGCGTTGTGTCTACATGCTAGTAAACTTTGAGACAGCCAGAAACAACGGACAAGAGGTCCACATGAGGGTGAGGGGTAGCCCCAACAAGCCCTCCCAGTAACAATCAATGTTTCTCTCTCAGCGATGTTTCTCTATAACTCTATATCTCTCTCTTCCTTCCTCTCTGTAAAAAAAAAAAAAAAAAATCAATAAAATATATTTTAAAATATATATATATGGTGAACAGAATGATCTGGTGAATATAATAGAATTAGGGGCATAGCCGAAACCGGTTTGGCTCAATGGATAGAGCGTTGGCTTGGGGACTGAAAGGTCCCGGGTTCAATTCCAGTCAAGGGCATGTACCTTGGTTGCGGGCATATCCCCAGTAGGGGGTGTGCAGGAGGTAGCTGATCGATGACTCTCTCTCATCATAGATGTTTCTAACTCTCTATCTCTCTCCTTTCCTCTCTGTACAAAAGCAATAAAAATATATTTTAAAAAATAAGAATTAGGGGCATAGAAAGGGAGTGTATTGACAACTCTTGGGGGGAGGGGGGTGTGGGGAGTGCAAGAAGAGACTGGACAAAAATCATACACCTATGGATGAGGACAATGGTGGGGGTTAAAGGCATAAGGCGGGGGGGAGTGGAAACCGGGTGGAGGGGAGCTATAAGGAAAAAAAAGGGGAACAACTATAATAATCTGAACAATAAAGATATATATATATATATACACACACACACACACACACACACACACACACACACACATGCATATATCGATATATGGTGATTATTTTTATATTTAGGGGGGTTTATTTGTTTGTTTTTAATATATTTTATTGACTTTTTACAGAGAAAAAGGGTGAGGGATAGAGAGCTAGAAACATCGATGTTATGAGAGAGAAACATCCATCAGCCACCTCCTGCACACCCCCACAGGGAATGTGCCCACAACCAAGGCACATGCCCTTGACTGAAATCAAACCTGGGACCCTTGAGTCTGCAGGCCCATGCTCTATCCACTGAGCCAAACCAGTTTTGGCGATATTTAGGTGGTGTTGTTTTTTAAGAGTCTCATGCTCTACCGACTGAGCTAGCCGGGCGAGACAGGTGATGTTGTTTTTTAATGGCATAAAGAAATAACACAATGCTTTAGTCCCTCTGCGTCTATCCAATAATTCTTTCATCAGAATTTATAATAAAAGTAATTTATAAATAATTTACAGCTTTCTTTGATTAATCAGATCCTTTTTTTATGGAGTTTATATGGCTTCAGAAGAGAACAGGCTCATATGAACTAAAAAGATGAAGGAGATAAATTTGCAATGGTTCAAAATTCAGCAGTATTATATGAGCAACTTGACACTTGATCTTAGCCATAAGGCCGAGAAGTGATATATATATATGAGCAACTTGAGACACACAGTTATCAGAATGTTTAAAACAGTAAATGCTAACAGGGAGTTACCAACCAAACAGCTGAAGAGACTCACAAGCATAGTCACGAGCTCTCTGGCACTGATCCGCCACATTTGCCTGCACAGGGCTTTGTGGACATCGACCCACTTTCATCCAGATTCTACCACCTTTGGTCCTTCTCCCTCCCATTCCCTAGTGACTATTTAAGCTACTATGTAAGTCTAACCCATGGGCAGCCTGAGCTTCATAAATTCACTTCATCCCAGAGAGACACCTACCGTTTTCATCGAGTCACTCAAAGCTTCCCACTGCTGGAACGGCATCGCAATCTGGCTCCTTCGCCAGTGGTCATAGCGGGCTCGACTCTCTTCGTTAGTCAGAATCTCCTTTGCCTTCTGCAGTTTCTGAAAAGTCTCCACTGGAAAACAAATCAAAAGATGAGCACTACTTTCTCAGAGGGATTATTTAAAACTCCCAAATAGTCACTGCTACTTACTAGCTGTGTAACCATGGACCAGTTCAGCTCCTCAAACTTAGTTTCCTCATTTGTGAAGCGTACCATAAGGACAAGTGGTATTATGTCTGTAAAGTGCCTGGCTCACAGTTTATCCACCCCTTTTACTGAGCTCCAGGAATGTGCCAGGTGTTGTTCCAGTTGCTGATGACACAGGTGTGAACGGACATGATCTATTTCAGTGGGATAGCCATTTATAAACATTGGGGAAATTATAATTTTGTCTACTAGAAAGAAAACTACCTTTTCTAGTAGTAGTCTGGGAGGGTATAATGAAGCTAGAGGAACACTACAAATAAAAACACCTAAGGCACAAATACAGAAGGCAACAATTAAAATGTTACAGAGAGAGGGGAGGCTTTCGCACGCAGAAGTAATGTAGAGGAAATAGAGAATGGCAATGTGGCTGGGAGACACAGGGCCTGTAAAGCAATGAGGAATAGGGTTGAGGAGTGCACAAAAGCACTCAGAATCCAGGACCTTAGATGTCATACTGAGGCTTCTGGTCTATATTTTTGTTTTGTTTTGTTGTTGTAAGAGCAATGGGAAGCTATTGGGAGGTTTTAAACACAGGAAATAACATGATAGATGGTTGATAATTGGTAGCTTTGTCACTGATCTATTTGACCAGATGGTATAAAATAAAAACCTTTCTTGACCCAGTTGGAAACACTTCCAATGTCACTTCTGCTCCTCAGTAAAATTAAACTTTCTATAGAGGAGGACAGAAGTTCAATATGTGAAAATTGATTATTTTGCCAAAACCGGTTTGGCTCAGTGGATAGAATGTCGGCCTGCGGACTGAAGGGTCCCAGGTTCGATTCCAGTCAAGGGTATGTACCTTGGTTGCGGGCACATCTCCAGTGGGGGTGGGAGGGTGCAAGAGGCAGCTGATTGATCTTTCTCTCTCATCGATGTTTCTAACTTTCCATCCCTCTCCCTTCCTCTCTGTAAAAAATCAATAAAATATATTTTTTAAAAGAAAGAAAATTGATTGTTTCTATACATTAGCATTGAGAAATCTGAAAATCAAATTAAGAAAACAATTCCATTTACAGTAGCATTAAAAGAATATAATACTTGGGGGGGGGGGCAATGTTAAAATATGTATACAGATAATAACTTAATTTAAAAAAAAAAATACAATACTTGCCCAGCTGGCATGGCTCTGTGGCTGAATGTCCACCTTTGAACCAGGAAGTCACGGTTCAATTCCTAGTCACGATACATACCTGGCTTGTGGCCTTGATCCCCAGTAGGGGGCCTGCAGGAGGCAGCAGATTAATGATTCTCTCTCATTAATGTTTCTATCTTTCTCTCCCTCTCTCTTCTGAAATTAATAAAACATATTTTTTAAAAGAATGCAATACTTAGGGAAAATACTAACAAAAGAAATACAAGACTTACACACTGAAAATTATAAAACACTGTTGAAAGAAATTAAATCTCTAAATAATATAAAGGCATCATGTTTATAGATCAGAAGACCTAATATTGCAAAGATACTAATACTCCCCAAACTGATCTACAAATTCCATACAACCTCTATCAATATATTTAGCTGCCTTTTTTTTTTGCAAAAATTGACAAGCTGATCCTAAAATTCATATGCAAATACAAAAGACCCAGAATAACCAAAACAATCTTGAAAGATAAGAACAAAATTGGAAGAATTCACATTTCTCAACTTTCTACAAACCTCCAATAATGAAAACAGTGTGGTACTGGCATAAAGATAAACATAAATCAGTGAAACACTGAGTCCAGAAGTAAACCCTCACATTTACAGTCAAATGGATTTCTACAAGATTATCAAGACAATTCAATTGGGAAAAAATAGTCATTTCAACAATTTGTGCTGGAACAACTGATATCCGCATATAAAAAAATGAAGTTGGCTCTTGGCTGCTGTGGCACAGTGGTTGAGCATCCACAGAAACCAAGTAGTCACCAGTTCAATTCCCAGTCAGGCACCTGCCCAGGTTGTGGGCTCGATCCCCAGTAGAGGAAGGTGCAGGAGGCAGTTGACCAATTATTCTCCCCCATTATCGCTATTTCTCTCTCTCCCTCTCCCTTTTTCTCTGAAATCAATAAAAATATTTCTTAAAAAAACAACAGTAAAAAAACAACATGGTGAGATACCACTTTACACCACTAGAAAGGATAAAATTAAAAGATAAATACAAGTGTTAATGAGGATGTGAAGAAATTGGAAGCCTCATATTAAAGATGAACTGTAAAACAGGGTAGTTACTTTGAAAAACTGTTTGGCAGTTCCTCAAAATGTTAAATATAGAGTTACCATATGGCCCAAGAATTTCAATGGTTAAGCACAGTCAGCCCTATGTATTCCAAGTTCAGCATCCATGGATTAAACCAGCCGTGACTTAAAATATTCAGAAGAAGAAAAGTTACACTGTTGCTCACAAGTACTGTGTAATTAAGCCTACAATGGTTGCATCTGTACTGAACATGTACACACTTTTTCCTTGTTCTTATTCCCTGAACTATAAAGTAAAACAGCTATTTACATAGCACTTACATTGTATTAGGTATTATAATAATAATTTAATTAGTTTACATGCAAATACTGCCATTTTACATAATGAACTTTGGTATCCATAGGGGCTCTGGAACCAATCTCTCATGTATACCAAGGGACAACTATATAAGCTCAATAAAATTTAAAAATATATTCACAAAAAAACTTGTATACTGGTATTCACAGCAGCATTATTCATACTAGCCCAAAAGCAAAACCAACTCAAAATTCAAAAATGTCCGTCAACAGATAAATGGATAAATAAAATGTGGCAGATCCATATAATGGAATTATCATTCAGCCATAAAAAGAAGTAAATACTAATACATGCTATAACATGGATAAGCATTAAAAACAATATGCTAACCCATGCATCCCCTGTCCTGCAACAGCATGGCTCAGTGGTTGAGCATCAACCAATGAACTAGAAGGTCACAGTTCAATTCCTGGTCACAGCATGTGCCCAGGGTTCAGGCTCAATGCCCAGTGGGGGGCATGCAGGAGGCAGCTGATCAATGATTCTCTCTCATCATTCATGTTTCCATCTTTCCCTCTCCCTTCCTCTCTGGAATCAATAAAAATATATTTTTAAAAAATATTATGCCAAATGAAATAAACCAGGCACAAACTCCCCCATAAAGCATGATTCCATTTA